TTTTGGCTCAGGTCATGATCTCAGAGTCATGGAATTGAGCCCCATGTTGGGCTCTGTGCTGGGCATGGAGCCTGCCTGGGATTCTCTCTCACTCTCCCTTTGCAGCACCCTGCCCCCCCGCCATCCTCTCTCCCTCTCCAAAAAAAAAAAAAAAAAAAAAAGTTAATAGGAATTGCCATCTAGTTAGAGAAACACTTGGCTTCTAATTCTAATGGTACCTTTCTTTCAAAGGCTCCTGATAACTATTCTTTTCTTTTTTCTTAACTTGCTTCTTAGGAGTATTGAGCCTGCCTAGATCAGGAGTGCAGTCAAGAAATTTTCTTTCTGAAAAGCTCTCCCTCCACTGTGTAGTCTCTCTTCTTAGTCCTTCTTAGTCCTTTTGGGAAAGATTTGTTTTTCTTTTTCAAACATTTCATTCTGAAGTAATTATAAATTTACAGGAGGTTGCAAAGAAATGTACAGAGAAATCCCATGCACTTCATCCAGTTTCTGTCAATAGGAGTAACATCTTACACACGGATGGGACAGTAGCGAAGCCAAGCAACTGACACTGCTATAATCCATAGCTCTTATTCAGATGTCACCAGCTATGCAGGCACAGGAACACCCACGTGCGTGTCAGTGGCTCTAGGCAATTTTATCACATTCATAACCATCACCACAATTGATATGCTCAATTGGGGGCACCTAGGTCGCTCGGTTGGTTGAGTGCCCACTCTTGATTTTGGCTCAGGTCGTGGTCACATGGTCCTGGCATTGAGCCCCACGTCAGGCTTCCCACTCAGTGGGGAGTCTGCTTGTTTCCCTCTCTCTCTGCGCCACCCCCCACTCTCTGTCTCTCTCAAATAAATAAATAAATCTTAAAAAACAGTGATGCTCAACTGTATAATCACGATGAGGCTCCCTTTATATCCAGACCCACCTCCTCCCCCTATCCCTAACTCCTGACAACTGCTAATCTGTTCCCTACTTCTATAATTATGTTATTTCACAAATGTTACATCAGTGGAATCATGAGGTATGTATCTTTTTGAGACTGGCTCCTTATTCAGCATAATTTTGTTGAGGTTCATCCAAGTTGCTGTGTGTATCAATAGTTTATTTGTTATTCCTTCTTATTGATGGATAGTATTCCATGTTTAACCATTCATGGGAAAAGGCTTTTTATGTTTCAATATGCAGCAATGCTCATGGTCTTAGTCATATTCAGGGAATACCTGTATCTTGGTAGCTACTTATGGTATGCATCAAATAAATACTACGGGACATATTTTTCCTAACTTATCCCTGAACATTGGAAACTTTTTCAACTATTAAGCTTTCACAGTGGCAAAACATGGGTTCAATTATGCCACAGCCAGATTCATTTAAGAAAAAAAAACACAACAACTGAAAACTTTCAAAATTAAGATTCCCATTAACCTTAAACAGTTCCCTGGCCTCTTGAAGAAAGAAAAAGTTGGTATCTGTGAAATTAAGTTTACAAAAAGAGAAATAAAATTTCTGGTAACTCCAGGAGGACTTATACCTTCTGGAAAATTATGAGCTATCTTATAATAAAAGCTTTCTGCTTGATATATAAGCTCATTTAAATAGGAATTAGAACAATCACACATTTATGGTAAGATGGGCCACATATAAAAAGATCCACTCCCGGGCGCCTGGGTTGTTCAGATGGTTAAGTGTCTGCCTTCAGCTCAGGTCATGATCCCGGGGTCCTGGGATCAAGTCCCGCATCGGGCTCCCCGCTCCGCCGGAAGCCTGCTTCTCCCTCTCCCACTCCCTCTGCTTGTGTTCCCTCTTTCGCTGTGTCTCTCTGTCAAATAAATAAATAAAATCTTTAAAAAAAAAAAAAAAAAAAAGAGGGCCTGGGTGGCTCAGTTGGTTAAGTGACTGCCTTCGGCTCAGGTCATGATCCTGGAGTCCAGGGATCGAGTCCCGCATCGGGCTCCCTGCTCCGCGAGGAGCCTGCTTCTCCATCTAACCCTCCCCCCTCTCATGTACTCATTCTCGCTCTCTCAAATAAATAAATAAATCTTTAAAAAAAAAAAAAAGATCCACTCCCAGATTAATAGAACTGGATGGTAGTTTTCGCAAAAACAAAAACAAAACACACACAAAAGATTTGCAAGGTCATGCATCATTGTTAGAAGGCTATCATTTCATAAATAAAAAGGAATCTTGCTGTATCCCCCTCATGAAATGCTCTTCCTTTACTTTCAAACAAAACAAACTCCAACTATCTCCTAGGCTCAGCTCCAGACCCTTCTCTACAATTCTTCCAAACACACAGCCCTCTGTTCTTTCTCCAACTCATGACCCCTGTGAGATGGCACTTCTCATGTACTGCTATGTAAATATTCTATTTGAGATTCTTATAACTGAGCATCCCACTGGGTTCCAAGTTTCTATCTGTTGTTTATTGCCACCTTGTTTTTAAGAGCAAAATAAACCTGGAAACCTCCTAAAGTCCTACGATGTGGTACTGGTTACATAAATCATAATTAGCACTAAAGAATGATAAATATAGGCAGGTATTTAATGTTGTGGAAAGATGATCACAGAACATACTAATGTCTATTATTTTACTGTCATTGTCAAACACAGAAAACTAGCATTTTCTGTATATGTAACTATGACAATAACAACAAAGTATACATAAAGGAGAGAGATAAAAAATTAATAAGCCAGGGTTATGTATTTTTCCCTTTCATTTTCTGTTTGTTTTTTTCAAAATTTTAATGATAAACATGAGCAATAAAAACAGTAAGAAATTAATGCTACTATGAATATCTGTGTATAAGTTTTGGGGTTTTTTAAATTTATTTTTTATTTAAATTCAATTAATTAACATTTAGTGTATTATTAGTTTCAGAGGTAAGAGTTCAGTGATTCATCAGTCTTATATAACACCCAATGCTCATCACATCACATGCCCTCCTTAATGCCCATCACCCCCCATTATCCCATCCCCCTACCCCCTTCCCCTCCAGCAACCCTCAGTTTGTTTCCTATGATTAAGAGTCTCTTAATGGTTTGTCTCCCTCTCTGATTTCACCTTGTTTTATTTTTCCCTCCCTTCCCCTATGATCCTCTGTTTTGTTTCTTATATTCCACATATGAGTGAGATCGTATGGTAATTGTCTTTCTCTGTGTATATACATTTTTGTATGCACATATGCTTTCACTTCTCTTCATACATACTTAAGGGTGAAATGAGTGGGTCATATACTAGGTGTATGTTGTACACACAAGTATGTCCAGGTATATATCTTATGTGAAGTGTTTGTTCAAATCTTTTGCTCATTTTTTTTTTGAGTTGTTTGTTTTCTTATTAGGTTCTGAGAGTATATACATATATACATAGATATTTTTAAAATTTTTTAATTAAAAATAAATATGTGATTTGCAAATATTTCCCCCCAATCTGTGGTTTGTCTTTCCATTCTCTTAATAGTACAGAACTTCTTGATTTTGATGAAGTCCAATTTATCAAATTTTTAAATGGATCATGCTTTTAGTGTGGTATCTAACAAATCTTTGCCTAATCTAAAGCCACAGAGATTTTTTTCTATTTTTTTCTCTGGAAGTTTTATAGTTTTAGGTCATATTTAGGTCTATAATCCATTCTGAATTAATTTTTATATAGTGTAAGATATGGATCAAAACTCATGTTCTTTGCATGTGGTTATTTAATCATTTCAGTAAAATTAGTTGAAAAGACTATCCTTTCTTGATTAGATTGCCTTTGTACCTTTGTTGAAAATCAATTCTCTATACATGTATGGGTCTATTTCTGGACTCTGTGCTGTTCCATTGATCTTTTTATCCATCTTGATGCCAATCCTTATAATTAATTAATCCTGTCTTAATTACTGTAGCTTTATAATAAGTTGAAGTCATGGGTGGTAAATCCACTCCCTTTCACCCTATTTTGGTTGGAAACAGAGGTCAGACTGATGAATTTTAATCCCAGCTCCACCACGTAATACTTGTGTGATTCCATACAAGCCAGTTAATAATGTTTATTACTCATTTACATACTTGTTTATTACTAGAATTAAATATTATAGTGTTTGGGTTAAATGCTTATAAAGAGCTTGAACTAGGATGACGGCTCTGGAAATAAAAAGTACTGGAACTACAGGGTGGAACGGGGGACAGACTCTGCTATCTTTCTCTGCACAGGGACATCCTCTTGCCCCTTCCATCTTTTTTTTTTTTTTTTTTTTTAGAGAAAATTGACATATAACATTGTGTAAGTCTGAGGTATACTCTGTGTTGGTTTAGTACATGTATTGCAATATGATTACTCCAACAGCATTAGTTAACACCTCTATCACATCATATACTCATCATTTTTTTGTGTGTTAAGAATGGTTAAGATTTAGTCGCTTAGCAACTTTGAAGTTCATAATATAATATCATTGACTATAATCACTATGCTGTCCATTAGATCCCAGGACTTATTTATCTATTCGTTGTAAGTTTATAACCTTAAACATCTCCCCAATTCCCCTGCCTCTCAGGCCCCTGACCTTTCATCTTAGATATTGAAGCTTTGCAGCAAATTGCTCCGACAGCAGGACCGATCACTTTGTACTGCAACAACAACAGTGAGAATGACAAAATAAAGGTGGAAAGAATTTTTAAAACTGGTCAGAACTTCCCAGTTTAGGGCGATCATTCCATTATATCAAGCGTTTTCTATGCAGCTTTGTAAAATTTTATTTCAAAACAAATTCTTTAAAAAAGAGAGCGGGATGCCTGGGTAGCTCAGTTCGTTAAGCATCTGCCTTGGGCTTAGGTCATGATCCAAGAGTCCTGGAATCGAGCCCTTTGTCAAACTCCTCAGGCTCAGCAGGGAGTCTGCTTGTTCTTCTCCCTCTGCCCTTCCCTCTGCTAGTGCTCTCTCTCTCTCAAATAAATAAATAAAATCTTAAAAAAAAAAAAAGACTTAAAAAAAATAAAGAAGAGAGCATTCTACATATTACCTTGAAACCCAGGTTACAGTAGCTTTTTGACCAGTTTGGTGTGGTTTTCTTCAACTCTTTTTTTTTTCAGTCTTGCAATACCTGTCCCTGCCAGTCTTCAAGGGCCCCCCAGTAACAGGTCAGCTCCACTCTAAAGGGGAGGAGCTACTTCCCAGGATCGCTGCCCAGCAACCCAGCAACCAACAGTGCTGCCCTCCTGGGGACCAAAGAGGACCTTGATCACTCTGTTGTGTGCCATGTGAGTGCTATGTCCAACAGGATGGCTGGTGGACCCAAGAAATGTTGGCCTTTGATTGGATTCAGTCTTATCTGTCTTAAAATGGTGAGTTCAACATTCCGACCTACTTGCAACTATTTGGAAAAAAAAAAAAGACATTTATTACCTCTTTTTTTTTTTTTGAGAGACTAGGGAGTGGGAGATCGAAAACAAAATAACCATACAAAGATTGTATATGTTTGCATGTTTGAAATTTAATGCAGTTTACTAGAGAAAGAAAACAAGATTATCATTATATTTTAAGAACAAAGATTTTTGAAAAATCTGTCAGCAGCTACTGACTTAGTTCAATAGGCAGATTCAGGGAGAAAAATGAAATAGTAATGTGATCTGCCTCCAGCCTCTAAATTCTATTTAGGATTCCTTTGTGGTAGATTTGAGTTTAGGAAATGATTTGTGCAAATAAATACTCTGTATGGATTCAAATATTGCTCACATTATGCATTAAAATGTTGTGATAAATTTATTACTGCTCTGATTTATGTTTTATGTTTCCCCAAATGGTTGTTTTCTTCATGGTTCTAATTTCTGTAAACTTTCCTTTTCAGGTTGCTTCAGCAAAAACAGGTAAAATTTTTTGAAACACAAGCTCTCCCTCCCCATATTTGATGTTAATTTCCATTGCTAATTCTTGGGCTACCCTGAAATGGAAAAGCTATACCAGGAAAAATATTTAACATCTTCTGAGCACTCACACTGTGAATCTAACTGGTAAGACAATAAATACATGGATCAAACTTAGAAATCCTCATAATATATTCCTACTGAGTACTGAGATGGATGGAAAGTCATGTAGTCATGTATTTTCTCAAATACATTTAGCCATCAGTAGAATATTATGATGATTATCATTCTAGTCAAAGAAATAAAGTTTTAAGCATAAATAGTGAAGAGTCTAATTTATATAATTTTTCCTATTTGTCTTCTGAAGAATTAGAGGAGAAAACAGAAATGTTTTTGAGTACAGGTTCAAGATTCTCTACTTTAATAAGAAAGGATTTTACACTTGTAATAGTGCATCCTTAAAACACAGAAAAAGATAACTCAGAGCTAGAAAAAGGCTTTCCTTTAAAAAGATTTTATCATCTTTCCTAAATAAATGACTAAAGGCAAAGATAATATCTCTAGAGACCTTGCCTAGCTCCTCCATTCTAGAAATCTAAGTCCCCTGAAAGGAAATGTATATTCAATGAGATTTTGATTATCTGGAGGACCCATGTAATATTGATTATATCAACAATAAAGTCTCATGGCAATTCAACTAAAATGAGAACAATTTTTATTTATTATTTTGTCTATACCACAGGAAAGGAAGTGCAAATAAGGCAATTTAAAAATTGGGTGTTTTTTTTAAGAATTTTTTTTTTTAATTTTAAAGTAATCTCTACACCTAATGTGGACCTTGAACTCACAACCACAAGATCAGGTGCCCCCCCACCCCGCAAATTGGGCGTATTTAAAAAAATAAATAAATAAAATATTAAAATTTGGCATAGTTACGTATGACTGACCCATAAAATCCATGCATGTGCAATAAGTTTTCAAAAATCATCTCGTGCTTTATTTTTATTTACTTACCTTATTCTTGAGAAACCTTCAGGAGTGACCATGAAGCAATGAAAAGGAGTGGTTGGCCTGATACAAAGTAACTTTTTTTTAGAAGTGGCCGTTAGGTGGACAAAATCTAGTTCTGCGTCTCTTAGAAGGTTCCAGGACACACGGGACACACTGAGCCCTCAGAGCAGGTCCTTTTTTAGTCCCACACTCTCCACACCATTGGAGAGAAAGAACGGGGCAGGCTGAGGTGGTGCTGTTAATTGATTCAACCCGGCTTTCCAATAAATGGGATGTGTTTTATTGACATTGTAAAGGAGGTTTCCTTCTGGGTGTGTGTATTATGGTTCTCTTCCAGCTCTGAAATAGGCTCTGTATCTGTGTTTGGCCACTGTGGCTGCGCAAGCTAATTTAGATCTCCGTGAGTTGGTAGAATGCACAGATGCTGAGAAGCAAAGCGTTTTACTTTTCACTGATCAGAGTGTGGTTGCTTGCAAATCTAGAGAATAAAGTTATCTCTTTCATCAAAGCAGTAAGTGGGCCAAACACAGGACTCAGAAAGAAGGAAGACTTGCTGCTAATTTCCTGAGCCTTACCCATCCCACTCGAGCTTCTCATCTCTTTAAGGGAAGCATAGTACAGAGGTGTTGATCTCTCACTGCTGTTGCTGGTCATATCCTGCCCTAGGATCACAGGCAATCTGTCTCTCCTGTGCTTACCCCAGACTCCCCCAGAATTTCACCTTCCCCGGCACTTGTCCATGGCTGTGCCATGTGGTCAGCTCTTCCAAACCCAAAACTTGCTCTTCCTGGTACACACACACACATGCACACACCAGCCCTTCCCACCTTTCAAAGTGCCCTTGCACACGTTATCTTACTTAATCATTATAACAATCCTAAGACGTAGATATTTCACATCTTTTTTTATATTTTACATTTCAAAGTAAATCCTAAGATGTAAATATTAATATTCTGCATGCTCAAGGGAGAAAACGGAGGCCAGAAGAGGTTAAATGACTTGTACACGTTCCCATGCAAAAGTAAATGGCAGAGCCGGGGCTCCAACCGGGAGCTCCTGGATCCAAATCCTGTGCTGTTTCCACCTGTGTTTCATCCTGCCGACACTGCTTCACGCATTACCCCTTCTGAGCAAAGGTGCCTCTCCCAGCTCACGTCAAGGGGCCAGGTTTTGTGACGCCCTCAGGCCCCTTGGCGGGCCTGTGAGGAGATAGCCTATGTCCTGCCAGCCTTTCAGATGCCTCTCAAACCACTCTGTGAATGCAGCCAGGCCTACAGGAGAGAAGATAAACTGCGGGGACAAAGGAAAAAGGAGTTGCAAGACTTCACAAAGTTAGTTAGAGGAAAGAAGGCAAATAATACAGGACAAGTAACTGGGAGCAGAAAAGGGATGAATGTGTGGGAGGGATGAAAGTAGGGGCCCTTGCTGGGGCTTTCTTTTTTTTTAATATTTTTTTTAAAGATGTCTTTATTTACTTCAGAGAGAGAGAGAGTGCGGCCGGGCGGGGAAAAGGGAGAGGTCATTTTAAGCAGACTCCGCACAGAGGAAGGAGCTGGATGCGGGGTTCGATCCCACGACCCTGAGATCATGACCCGAGCGGAAACCAAGAGTCAGATGCTTAACTAACCGTGCCACTCACGCGCCCCTTGCTGGGGCTTTCTATCCTGCAGTGGGGGCGAGAGGACATGGATGCTTCCTGCAGAGTCACCTTATGCTTTTCCCCAGCGTATATAACTCTCATAGTTTTCTTTTGATGGCAAAGGAGACAGTCCTGGGTGATGTTCAAGGAATGTCTGGCCAGTGCACAGTGGAGACTTTGTTCGATCTTGCAGCATGGTTATTTCTGAGTCGCTGCCAAAGCCAACTCTCTGGGCTATTGGTGCAGAAAGAGAAGATTGTCTGTGTCATGCACACTGGGATTCGGCCAGTGGGGGTCTGCTGGGGGGAGGGAGTTGATACTGGTAAATCACACGTGTGGTCTGTATTTACTTCTTCTCCTCTTTGCCCTATAGAATTTCATATATAGGGGTTTTCCCCAACAAATGCAGTATCATTGAACAGAAAAGGCTGAGTTCCAAACTTAAACCAGCCATTTTTATGTGATCTTTCCTTCCACTTGGACCTCTTATACCCAGGGCATTCTCTGTGTCTGTGGATTTTTGCAATATAGTAAATCTTCTCACCATGCTGTATCACCTTCCCCTGCCCCAAAGTGTAGGAATGTATACACTCTTGACAAAGCATTCATATCCCTCAGACAGACCGTGGCCTGGCCCAAATGAGGGGCCACAGCGTCTCATTCTTATGCTGAGGCAGATGTTTTGATGAAGAAGGGGAGAATAAAGTTTATTTTTATTTTATGTGGAAGAATCTAAAAATGGTTCTACTCTGATAATATGGAAGTACAATGGAGCAATCCTAAAACAACTCAATTCTCCCTCTTCTTCCATTTATTTTTTTTTTTTTAAGATTTTATTTATTTATTTGACAGAGAGAGAGCAAGAGAGGGAACACCAGCAGGGGGAGCGGGAGAGGGAGAAGCAGGCCTCCCACTGAGCAGGGAGCCCAACGCAGGACTCGATCCCAGGACCCCGGGACCACGACCCAAGCCGAAGGCAGATGCTTAACCATCTGAGCCACCCAGGCACCCCCCTTCTTCCATTTAGTTTAAAAACCCTGTGGGAAATGTGCAAGTGCATGGGATGGAGACACAGCCACAGCGGGGGTGGGACCCTGGCCATCGGGAGGAGGGAGTGCAGCATGGGTGAGGGGCAGGGAGGGGACACTGGCTGTGGCAGAGCAGGCCTGGGAATTCAGGAGTGCCAAGCCAGAGGAGAAGCCTCTAGAATAAAGCCCCTCGGTGACTCTCTCCTTTCTCTCAGAGTTCCTTCCCACAATCACATCCCACTCTTTTTTTTAAGTAGGCTCCACGCCCAATGTAGGGCTCGAACTCACAACCCTGAGATCAAGGCTTGTGTGCTCCACCAACTGAGCCAGGCAGGGGCCCCACCCTTTTAGCCCCACTCTGATTTAACTCTTTGAGAAGTACAAAAAGTGCAAAATATACTAGAGGCAACTGGGAAAAATCTCTTTTTGAAATCCTTTTCCTGAATGAGAGGTTTGAGCTTTCTGGCTCTCTTCTGGAGAATAGCTCTGCCTTTCTTTTTCTCTGTTTTGTCTCGATCCTGAAGGGCAAGGGTGCCTGGCTGACTCAGTCGGTAGAGCATGGGACTCCTGATCTTGGGGTTGTGAGTTCGAGCCCCATGTTGGGTGTAGAGATTATTTAAAAATACAATCTTTTTTAAAAAATTATTATTTTTTTAAATTTATTTGACAGAGAGAGAGACAGCGAGAGAGGGAACACAAGCAGGGAGAGTGGGAGAGGGAGAAGCAGGCTTCCCCGCCAAGCAGGGAGTCCAACGCGGGACTCGATCCCAGGACCCTGGGATCATGACCTGAGCCGAAGGCAGATGCTTAACAACTGAGCCACCCAGGTGCCCCAAAGATAAAATATATTTTTTAAAAGATTTATTTATTTACTTATTTAGAGGGAGAGCTAGAGAGAGTGCAAGCAGGGGGAGGGCAGAGGAAAAGAGAGAGAGAGAGAGAATCTCAAGCAGACTCCCAGCTGAGCATGGAGCCTGGTGCAGGGCTTAATCCCAGGACCCTGAGATCATGACCTGAGCTGAAACCAAGAGCTGGACGCTTAACCGACTGCACCACCCAGGTGCCCCTAAAAATGAAATCTTTTTAAAAAAAGAAAATGAGGGCAAAGTTTATGTCTAAAGGATGACATGAAAATGATTTAGTCTGAGAAGTAAAATGATGAAGAAATAATCTTCATAGGTATCCTAGCTAATGTACCACTTCAAAATCTCTTCCAACGGGCACCTGGGTGGCTCAGTTGGTTAGGCGTCTGGCTCTTGATTTCCATCAGGTCATGATATCAGGATTGTGAGATGGAACCCTGTGCGGGGCTCATGCTCAGCATGGAGTCCACTTGAGATTCTCTCCCTCCCTCTGCCCCACCCCCCACTCGAGCTCTCTCTCCCCCTTCTAAAATAAATAAATACATAAATACATAAAATCTTCAAAATCTCTTTCAGCTCCTGAAATACCCACTATTGATCAGGCCTATTCCAAAATCAGCGACAGTATCACTGTGGAATGGGCCACAGTGCCAGGGGCCACCAGTTACCTCCTCATGGCTGAAGATGGAGACACTGTCATTGAAACCATGGTGGCCAATTCCCCAGGCACTGTGACAGGCCTGAAGGCTGCAACCTTGTACCAACTCACTGTCAGATCCATCAGTGCCACTGGGAGAAGCCAGGCATCGCCTCCGAAGCAGGCAAAGACAGGTAGCAGGATGCTTATCCTCTGTTGAGCTATTGTTTGTGACCTGGATCACTTATAGGGAGGCTTCAAGTACATGATATAATTTTGTGCCGGGGCGCCTGGGGGGCTCAGTCGTTAAGCGTCTGCCTTCGGCTCGGGTCACGATCCCGGGGTCCTGGGATCGAGTCCCGCATCGGGCTCCCTGCTCTGCGGGAAACCTGCTTCTCCCTCTCCCTCTGCTTGTGTTCCCTCTCTCGCTGTGTCTCTCTCTGTCAAATAAATAAACAAAATCTTGGGGCACCTGGGTGGCTCAGTCGTTACGCGTCTGCCTTAGGCTCAGGTCATGATCCCAGGGTCCTGGGATCGAGTCCCGCATCGGGCTCCCTGCTCCGCGGGAAGCCTGCTTCTCCCTCTCCCACTCCCCCTGCTTGTGTTCCCTCTCTCGCTGTGTCTCTCTCTGTCAAATAAATAAAATCTTAAAAAAATAATAATAATAATAATAATTTTGTGTCATGTGAGTGCCTATGATTCAGGGCCCAGAGGCGAAAGCCACCAAATGATGTTTTTGGCAATTCAGGATTCTGTGGGGGAGGTGGTATTTAAATTCCAGATGCTTTGGAAAATAAAACCCATTTCTGGGTATCTTTAAGAACACCCCTGCTTTTAAATCTCTGAAAAAGGGATTTCTGTTTTTAACCTCAGTTATCCATAAAGACCATGCTAAATAAAGAACACATAGAAGGGATTTTGCTACATTTTGACTTACTTAAAATGAACACATTTAGAGTTTGTCATCAGCATTACTTAAATTGAGTTGAGAGGGTTGTACCTAGGCATATTTCCAAAAGGTTGTGTGCACATTAAAATATTATAAACCACCATTTCCCCCATTGAGTTATACTATAATTACAGGGATGTTTTATATAATTTCTTACAAACCTCCAGTTGAAAGTAATGCCTAATAGAGTTTTTCTGTTCCCCATTCCTCTGCCGAGTCTTTTATGATTAATTTACATTTAGATAACCATTATTTAATGGGACTCTGCTGTAAACCCTTCAAAGCAAATAATTATTTCATAACATGGATGATCAACTTCAAATTACTTATTCCTAAATTTCAATTGTCCTCCATTGCAAACACATGCGTTCTTGTCCTCGTAGTGTTGGCTGCACCGATTCTAGAAGTAAGCTCTCCAAGTCCAGACTCTATCCTTGTGCAGTGGGAAGCTGTATACATGGCAATCGGATTCTCTGTGTCCATCATGCGAGCGAATGGTTTGGGTAGAATATGGAAAGAGAATACCACAAGCACCTCCTTGACGTTTACCACTTTAGAAGCTGGGACTCTCTACACCATAAAGGCCTACGCATGGAATGCCAATGGAACACCTGGGGATGACTCTACCTGCAATCAGAGAACAAGTAAGGACTTCCCAGCGCAGCCCCCAGCAACCTCCCTTTTGATGAATGAGAGGGGCTCTGCATTGTAGCCATCAGGAGTGGCGTTAGGGCTGACTGTTCCTCCTCGGTGGTTTAAATGCTGACTGCATGTATAAAGACGTGCTGCTCAGCATACACAGAGCGTGGCTTCTCCCTCCCTGAGAGCCAACTTACTTTCAAGCATACACATTCAGTATCACACAGCAGGAGATGATTTGTGGCAGGCTTACCAGTTTCCCATACCCTTTCTAGGTTCAGACCAACAGCGTAAACAAAAAGAATTGGGACAAACAGGAATTCATTTATTCAGTAGACATTTAGTGAGTGGGTGCCAACTTTGAGTGGGCATTGTTCTAGAGATCCAGCAGCAAACGAAACAAAGTTCCTGTTGTTACGGTACTTAATGCTGTGGCGGGAATCAGAGGTTCAGATATATTTCCCAAAACCTCAACTTGGACCTGAGGTCAACATGGGGTTTCCCATCACCTCCCCTCCAGTTGAAGGTTGAGAAGCTGGAGCATGGTGTGTGTTCTCTCCCCATCCCATGGCAGGGGTGCCCCAACCAAGGGATCCCACTTCCTAAGTGGAAGCCCACACTGCATTGCTGGAGCAAGCTAAAAGAATGAGAAGGAGAGAGAGAGGGAAGGAGGGAGATTTTTTTCCTTCTCTCAAGGCAGAGTAAGCCATCCACTGACAATATGGTCTAGTAGATGCTAGACTCTCACCAACCAGATAAGCTATTTCATCCCTTGGAGAGGACCAAGGAAAGGGTGGAAAGAAACCAGAAATGTTGTCTCCAACATTTCCTAAGTTTGGAGGGGAGAGGAAGCCCCATGGTCTATGGGTCAAGACAGAAATTCAGGGAGAAAAGGGTTTGCCTTTTATAATACTTCTCTCTGGTGAAATCCTAGCAAGGTGGCCCACAGGTGATTCAGGATGGGCCCGGGGAGTCAGGATGTCTGTGATAAACCAGTATCCCTGGGCCTTTTCCTAGACGTACATTCATTCTTTCTTTCCACAAACAATGATCAAGGGCCCACTATGTGCTGGACGTAGTTTAGCTGATGAGGAAACAAAAAAGCATAATCCCTACACTCAGAGAACTGAGTGTGTCTTGGGAGAGACCAATGTATAAATCAGTGGTTACAGTTCCATGTAATAAGAGCTTTGAGAGAAGGATTTGCAGGCACAGAGCAGCTCGGGAGGAAGCCTCTCCATCTGACTGGGGACAGGGACAGCCTTCTCCGACAAGTGACTATTTTCTTTAAGTCTTCCTCTTCATTTGTTTCCATGTTTTAAAATTGTGTAAGGTTTATTTATTTATTTATTTATTTAGATTTTATTCATTTATTTGTCAGAGAGAGAGAGAGCACAAGCAGGGGGGTGGCAGGCAGAGGCAGAGGGAGAAGCAGGTTCCCTGCTGAGCAAGGATCCCGATGCGGGGCTCGATCCCAGGACCCTGGGATCATGACCTGAGCCAAAGGCAGACGCTTAACCGACTGAGCCACCCAGGCATCCCAATATTGTGTAAAGTTTAGATTTAGCCTTTCTATTAGTTTGCGAGGGCTGTCGTAACAAAGTACCTCAAACCGACTTAAACAACAAAAATGTATTGTCTCCCAGTTTTGGAAGCCAGAAGTCCGAAATCAAAGTGTCGGCATAGTTGGCTCCTTCAGGGCTGTGAGGGAAGGATCTGTTCCAGGCCTTTCTCCTTGGCTTGTAGAAGGCACCCTTCACAGTCACATGGCATTCCCCCTGAAAGTGTATGCCTGGGTACAGACTTCCTCTTTTTATTATTTTATTTTTATTTATTTATTTTTATGAAGTGCTTCATGATTTTGCATGTCATCCTTGTGCAGGGGCCATGCTAATCCATATCATTCCAATTTTAGTATATTTGCTGCTGAAGTGAGGACAAAATTAACTGTCTTTATAAGGACACCAGTCATATTGGATAGGGCCCACCCTAATGATCTCATCTACCTAATAGCATCTACTATGACCTGTTTTCAAATAAGATGACAGTTGGAGGCACTAGGGGTTAAGACTTTGACATGTGAGTTTTGAGAGGACTCAGTTCAGCCCCTAACAGCCCCCGACTACTCTACTCATTTTTCCTCCTTCTCTCATGCCCCATGAGGGAAGGGCAGGTTGTCCTAAAATGCTGCAGGTGACCCTTACTAGCCTTGGGCCCAGAATTACCCCAGAGCAGATCTGCATCTGCAGCTAAGCTCACCATGAAACAGGGGAAGGGTCCTGTGAAGATGGCCTATTGGGGGAACATGACAGAGCATGAGTTGAGCCTGTTTCCTCAAATGGGGCCTTCCCTGGGTCCAGAAGGTCCTGCTTTCTGCTCATATGCTATGCATGGAGATCGCGAATGCCTGCCAGGTGGGCCTCATTACAGCACAGATTCTGGAGAACTGAGGCCAATTTCTCTCCTTCCAGCCCAAGAGGACACTCCTCAAGCTTTTTCAAGAGGACAACCCTGAAAAAAAGGAAGGCATATTTCTGAGGATGTAGAGGGAAGTGTTTTTGGAGATACTAAAATGACTGTCTCAATGTGTGACCATCACACTTGATACGTTCCTTCCTGCCCTTTGATTTAGAATGGAATGAAAGTCTGCTCTTCTAGAAACAGTTATAACCTAAAAGTTTTTACAGAAAAAGTCTTAGCAGGTGTCAAAACTATAGAAGGGAGGGGTGTCTGGCTGGCTCAGTTGGTAGAGCATATGACTCCTGATCTTGGGGTTGTAAGTTTGAGCCCCAAGTTGGGTGTAGAGACTAATCTATAGTCAGGTAAGTGGCCAACTCTTGGTTTTGCCTCAGGTCATGATCTCAGGGTCATGGGATGGAGCCCCACATCAGGCTCCACTCTCAGCGGGGAGTCTGCTTGAGATTCTCTCCCTCTGCCCCTCCCCCCCCACTAGCACTCTTTCTCTGTCTCTCTAAAAGAAATAAATAAATCTTTAAGAAATAAAGAAAAAATAAAAAGTAAAGAAGGGACGTTGTTGAAGCCCAATCCGTTCAGCTTCATCAATCAATAATAGAATATTTGACCTACCACTTAGTAATAACACACCCACATGGCCCTTTTGGCCCTACACATTTATAATTTCATTTAATTATTCAATCACTTGTTGTGCTGTGCATTCACTGATTCATTCATTCAAATTATGCTTATTTACCATCTATATGTGCTAGGGACTGATCTTACTAGATCCATTTTACAGACGATAAAAAAAATTAAATAACAGAGTAAATACCATGGCCAAGGTCACATAGCTAGTCATGAGTTTGCACAGTCAATGGCAGATGCGTTACCCTAAATCCCAACGTTATGCTCTAAACACTAGCAATTCTCCTTCTATCGTGGTGCCTCATCCTCCAAGCTCTGCAATGTTGGTTGTTAGGCCAGATCTTACTTGGGTTCTTGAGGCTACTGCAAAATCGTAATTGTTTCTCAAAAATCTAGGTCCTCGGGCTCCTGCCAGCATTCAAGTCTCTTTTGACAGTGGGACTCTGAAGGCCTCTGTTTCATGGGCCCCAGCAGAAGGAGCTTTCAACTATACCGTGATGGCTTGGAGCGACTCTTCAGAGCTGAGCTGCCGTACAACTCTCAACACCTGTACCATCTCCTCGCTCCAGTGTGGGACTGAGTACCTCATTTCACTTTTAGCAAGTAATGATGCTGGGTCTAGCAAATCCACTTCCGCGGAGGCCCTGAAAACTGGTACGTAAACAAGTGTGAGATCACCGTGGGGCTGGCGACCCAGGGCGATGGCAAGAAGGGAAACAAAGAATCACCTGGTGATGTTCCAGAACACTCTGGAAGCAGTGAACATAAAAGCCTGGTCCGAATGAAAGCACTGAATTGGACATTCTCATGAGTTTTAGTAATGTGATAGTGACAGCAGATATCCAGCATTGGAAATAGCACTTCTTCGAAAATTGGTAGGAGTCCAGGCTCCTATTCTAGTCTATCAGTAATTGATTTCCCGTATCCTTTGTGAAGTTGTACAGAGTCTAAGCTCCAGGTGGAGTGATACACAACTCTAACTGTGCAGTACAGAGAGCGGCCTCTTCCTTAGCTCATGCTTCACAGACCTAGGCCTGGTGGGAGGTATTTTTTAAGATAAAGACGGGCGGTCTATAATTCTTAGTATGTGTTTAAATATCTTCCCATTTTCATCTTATCAGAGAAATAAAGACTTACATATGTGGAGGTTTACTCGTCTAGTTAAAGACATCTGTATGTTTTGGTGATGGGAACTAGCATTGATGACCTTCTACGTACCAGGCGCTATAAGTACTTTATTTTACCTAATTTTCATGACACCTCAATGAAGTAGGCTCTATTGTCTCCTTTTTCAGATAGAACAACTTTAGGTCCGAGAAGTGAAGTAATTTTTCCAAAGGCATACCAATAATAAGTGCTAGAGCTAGGATTCAAGCCCAGGATTGCCTGATTTTCGTCCTCTAAGCCAAAGAAAATGTAGATAATCACAGTAATGTTCATTTTACCCAACAGCCAGAACTATATCACTCTAAGCATAAAAGGCTTCTGAACAGAGAGGAAAAGAGCCATCCCCAAGCTGATGCACTGTGTTTCTCAGGGAAAAAGTACAGCCAAGCTCTCAGATCCACGGTTTCTTATGGTTCTTAAATTAAGGTCACTGATAGCACACCTAGTGATTTGGCTTCTCTTTTGACAGCTATAATTTACTCTGGATGGCACATTGGAAATGGTTATGAGGTCAGGATAGCTGAGCGTGAAGGAAGAGATAAGAATACACTTTCGAAAGCGCAGCAGATCCAAGTCAGTCATTTCATGCAGGAGAGAACCATGCAGTGTTTCCCAATCCTGGATGCACATTAAGAGAATCTGGGGAGTTTTTTAAAAATCCACCCAAGACCAATGAAATCGGAGCTGCTGGGAATGGAGTCTGGGTCTGACTAGTTTGTAAAAGTGCCTCAGTTAATTCTAATGTGCAGCCGGGGTAAAGCACCATGGAAGGAATCCTGCACATTTACGGTCGGGAGACACCACTGCACGTCGTGTAGAACAATCAGTCAGGATCATGGGCATGGCCCACACTGATCAATAAAAGAACTATGTTTAGAAAGTGCTATGTGTTTCCTGGATTCCAGAATTGTGAAATTTATTTTAGGAAGACTGCCACTAGAGATGGCTAAAATCTTAAAAGCGTAGAGAACAAGCTTCCTTTGAATTCCTTCCTTCACGCTGTGCTGATCCTGGCATTGCCTTCACACGGAACCGCGGCGGTATTAACCAAGGGGATCCGTGCCTACTTCTGACATGGTCTAGCATGTACCGTGTGCGATAAGTTTTACAACACATGAGAACGTCTCGTTGCTGTGCATGTGCTATTTGATTTATTCCTTGTCCGTCGCCTGTGGTATCCCGGACAATTGCAAAGATGCAAAGGAAATCTCCTGCAGGACTCTCATAGCTGTTCATTATGTACCATTTCCTAGTTGCTTGTGCCCCTGGAAGAGTGACCATCCGAGAAGATCCTCCAGGCCACCTGTCTGTGGCTTGGTCCGAAGTAGATCTGGGCGATTACTACGTGGCCTTTGTGAAGAGTGATGATGGCTTGGAATTCCACTGCAACACATCCCTCACCCAGTGCAATTTCTTATCTGAATGTGGCTTCACTTACTTTATCAGTGTTTTTGCCTATAACAAGGCAGGGCAGAGTCCTCTGGGCGATGTGTTCAATTACACCACAGGTGAGTTGCACTTGATGCTTGTAAAGGGAGTGCTGAGGTCACTAAACTCTGCAGCAGCATAGATCACCTATTGCACTAATTGACTTACATAGACTACCTGGGCTCTCACATTCTCTCCCCGATCAGGCACTCCTAAGCCTTGACAAGAATGCAAGGCTTAGGAGTGAAAAGAGAGCAAAGAATATAGTCGTTCACACCTGCTCTGAGAAATTAAAACCTCCACCAAGATCTACTCAGTGTTCAGCCCCCTGTGCAGGGTGCCGAAGGGGATGCAGTCCTGCCGTCTCAGGAGTTCACTCTTTCCCCAAGACCCAAAACCGGAGATGCAATTGCAAAGGCATGGTGTGGAAGGCTCTGCAGCAGGACACCTGTGTGTAAGGCCTAACTTGACCACTAACTCATTTGTAAAATGAAGATAATGACGTTTACCTTGTTAGTTTCTTAGTATACTCCACTGCAAAATGGGACAAACAATGGGAGCATGAATATGAAAAGGTCTTTGAATGTGGTCAAGCACAGCGCAAAGTATTTTTATTAGCATCCTTATTACTGTTAGTCTCCTCCACTAGGCTTGAATCTTCTCTAGAGCAGGGACTGTTTTATTTACCTCTTCATCCTCAGTGCTTATCATAGTGTGATCAGCCTATAGGAGAGCCTTGATTTCTGAAGAATGAATGGAGCGAGTGACTTGAAATTAACCATGCTGACAAATAAGAACACTATAATATCATTACGTACATAACACTACTAGCTGGATTACAATGAATTTTACCAAGATGAAGGAATCAAATAATTGGTGCTTTTGGAATATGGGTTAAGGGCTACCAATCAAGTCTCAAGAGCATAGGAGGGCTTTCCAGAAGGAGTGGCCTTGACCTGGATATTGAAAGGTGGATGGAATGTAGGTGGGGCAAGGGCATCCTAGAGAAAGTTCAAGCTGAGTTAGACATTTGTCAGAATTCATCCATGACATGATATAGGGTTTCTTCTAAGATCTACTAATACAATCATGCTTCCCCCTCCTCCAGCCATCAGTTTTATCTGGTTAGTGTCAGGAAAGACTGATAGGATCCAGAAGCTAGACCAGGTATGATTTTTCTCATGCAGAAGAGGGAAACAACATTCCAGTAGAGGGTTAGCAGCCTTTGAGGCATAGGGAAATGAGAGCATATGTGGAGTGGGGAATTGAGAAGACTGGTGTGAGGGTGCCTGGGTGATTCAGATGGTTAAGCGTCTGCCCTCAGCTCAGGTTATGATCCCAGGGTCATGGGATCAAGTCCCGCATTAGGCTCCCTGCTCAGTGGGGAGTCTGCTTCTCTCTCTCCCTCTACCCCTCCTTCCTGCTCGTGCTCTCTCTCTCTCTCGCTCACTGTCTCTCTCTCTCGCTCTCTCGCTCTCTCTCAAATAAATAGAACCTTAAAAAAAAGAGAGAGAGAAGAAAGAAGATTGGTGTGGCAGGCGATGGGGAGGCACAGCTCAACATGTAGACTGGATGCAGCTTGTAATGACCTTGGACGTCACATGCATAGGGGAATTATCCTCTATTTAGTGGGTGTTAGGCCAAGATCAGAGCTGGAAAGACCTGTAGGAGATTCTCTCTCTCTCTCTTTTTTTTTTTTTTTTTGAGAGGGAGAGGGAGGGGAGGGAGAGAGGGAGAGGGAGAGAGAGACTCTTCCCCCCACTTTGGATTTTATTTTATTTTATTTTATTTTATTTTATTTTATTTTATTAACATATAATGTATTATTTGTTTCAGGGGTACAGGTCTGTGATTCATCAGTCTTATACAATTCACAGCGCTCACCAAAGCACATACCCTCCCCAATGTCCATCCCCCAGCCACCCCATCCCTCCCACCCCCTCCACTCCAGCAACACTCAGTTTGTTTCCTGAGGTTAAGAGTCTCTTATGGTTTGTCTCCCGGAGAGAGAATCTTAAGCAGGCTCCACACCCAGGCTGGAGCCCAACGCCAGGCTCGATCTCATGACGCTGAGATCATGACCTGAGCCAAAATCAAGACTCTGACGCCTAACTGACTGAGCCACCCAGGCGCCCTGTGGAGATTCTTGCGGCAATTTAGAGAGTGCTGGCAGAGGCTCTGGGCACCGGGAGGTCGGGTCCCTCTGACATCATTGCTCCTTTACTGACCTCCATTCTCTCTCTGCTCCTGCTTCCAGCTCCCTGTTGTCCTACCGACATCAACCCTGTGTTGGTGTCCAGTGACAGAGTAGAGATCGTCTGGTCTCCTGTCCGCGGTGCTGAACTTTATGAAACCAAGGCTGTAGATGGGTTCACCGTGGCTGAATGCAATGACACCGCTCCTACTTGCACCCTCTCAGCTCTAGAGTGCGACACCAAGTACAACATCACAGTCTACTCCTTCAACGAAGTCCGGGGCAGCAATATGTCCTGTACTTCCCAATTTATAACCACAGGTATGAGGCAGCTAGGACTTCCTTCACTGACCTTTGAACAATTCACCCCAGCTACGCCCCTCGGGATGGGCATTCAGTAAGAACTGTAAAGCCACTCTGTGGGGACCATTAGAGCCCCTGTCTTACTACAGAGAGGCCGAAGAGAAGGTAGAAGAGGGGAAGTGGGAAGAAAAGAAAACCAAAAAGGAGGTCATGGGAAGAGTGGAAGGTTTCCCCAGTGATGACTTCAGCCATTCAGTTCCTCTGACTTTGGGGGGGCTTATCCGTATTCACACGATGAAGGTTAAGCCCACAAATATTTGTCTTTCTTTCTTTTTTTAGAGAGGGAGAGAGAAAGAGAGAGAGCGAGCTAGTAGGGGGGAGGGGCAGAGGGAGAGGGAGAGAGAGAGTCTTAAGCAGGCTCCACACCTAGCTCAGAGCCCCACACGGGGCTTGATCTCACAGCCCTGAGATCATGACCTGAGCCTAAATCAAGAGTTGGACGCATCTGAAGATCCAATAAAAAAAGTTCAGATTGCCCATAAACTTCCCAAGTTGAAGGATATAAAAATAAATTTCCACTCTTTAATTAAGAAAAAAAAAAAGAGTTGGATGCTGGGTGCCTGGGTGGCTCAATCGGTTAAGTGTCTGCCTTCAACTCAGGTTGTGATCTCGGGGTCCTGAGATCAAGCCCCGTGTCATGCTCCCTGCTCAGCGGGGGGGTCTGCTTCGCCCTCTCCCTCTGCCCCTCCCCCCTGCTTGTGCGCTCTCTCTCTCTCTCTCAAATAAATAAATAAAATCTTAAAAAAAACAACAACACAGAGTTGGACACTTAACCGACTGAGCCACCCAGGCGCCTCAAGACCCCAAATGTTTGTCTTAATTGCTTTTGCTTTTGGAGTTCAAAATGCCTCTTAACCTTTTCTAGTGAGTCTGACGCTATAGGAAGCTAATACCATGTTTCCCCACAAAGGCTCTAGGGCTCTGTCCTCCGTGCTTGGTCTGGTTGAAAGTAGTTTCCCTCATTTGGGGGAAAGATCAGTTTTCGATCAAATGGCACACCTGATATTTCTGACTCACACTGTTCCAATGAATAAACTCTCTTAGCTCCTTGCAGTCCTGAGATAAAAAGCGTTTCGAAGGATGCATTCTCCACAATTAACGTGCACTGGCGACCCACCAATGATGATGCCACTTACGCGGTGACAGCCCAGGGGGAGACAGGGCTGTTTTCGTGCAGCAGCAGGGGAGAGTCCTGCGCCATGGCGGGCTTGCCCTGTGGCTCGGTGTTCTCCATCACCGCGGTGGCCGAGACACAGGCCGGCCGGAGCCTGCCCAGCTACAGCGTGCCCCTAGAAACAGGTCGGTAGCAGCCTCCAGCCTGAATGTTGACTTCAGTGTGGTCCTTAGATACTGTTCTAAGACGTGAACTCTCTCATTTGATCTTCCCGGAGTGTGACAGAAATACGTTAAACTCATAAACAGCCCCAGTCTCAGAAAATAAGATTTGCAACCCTGGGACACGGTTTCTGTAAAAATGTCATCAGAAGACTCTAATATAGTCATATGCTGACCTCAGAGGAGGGGTACATGGACTCTACGAAACATGCGTTTGAATTCATACTCCTCCGTGACATAACCTCCCAAAATAGCTAGCAAGCGGCCAAATGAGCTGGCTTATTTTTTATTTCTTTGGCTCAGCCCTTTCAAATCTTTCTGTAGAAAATGCTTTCTGAGTTTCAGTTTTCTAACTGGTAAAAGGGGGATCATGGGTTCCTGGGAGGGGGCACGGCATGGGGCGGGGTGTGAATGTTAATACTGCAAGCACTTAGCAAGGTGCCTGATACAGAGTAAGAGCTTGGTAAGAGCATGCTGTTCCTGCTTCATACTGCTGGGTGTAAGGCAAATTTAGCAAATTACTTAAAGCCTTTGGACATTATTTTCTCTTATGTACAAAGGATGGCACTTTGGACTATAAAAGTTGGAACATAAAAAGCAGCAGAACAGAGACAATGCCCAATATTCAGGAAGATCCTAGATAACCTATATCCTGAATCATGGGCCCCTGAAAAATTGAGAATTGGCTGTGATATTTTTGGTGGCTAAAAATACTACAAGCTTTTATATCAATAATGCACTATGAAATGCATGAAAAAGGCAAAATACATTTAATTATAAAGGCTGTAAAATGTTACATTGAGAGAAGAGGTGAATGCAGCCATTGCTTTGAAATTTGCAACTGAGGTCGCTAAGGTTGGGGAACAGCAAAGGATTTCTTCCTTATTCTGAAAAAAATTGGAGCTCACATTACCCACAGCTAGTTAGTGCTCCACCTTCTTGAGAAAAGCACCCCCTATGTACACTTGATGTTAAGTAACGTATCTGAGGGAATGAGATTTTGCTTAACAAAATGAGATTTTGCTTAACAATGGAAGGTTTGAGAAATTTAGGATATTGAATGAAATACAGACAAAATACCATTCTTGGTTGTTTTCCACAATAAATCCCCAATTCTTTCTCTTTTTCCCCATCTAAGCGCCATGCTGTCCAGCTGGTCTGACAGTAACTCAGGTCACCCAGTCGGTAATCAATGTGAGCTGGACTGTTGGGACCGGGGCCCAAACCTATGTGACAGTTCTGGAGTCGCACACCGGACAGGCGAAGTGTCTCACCCATCAAAACCAGTGCCTCCTGGGATGCATCTCCTGTGGCGTCAATTACACGGTGGCATTAAAAGCGATTAGTGCCACTGGGTTGACTGCAGACTGCACCTACCAAAGTTATTCCTCCAGTAAGTGACTTCTAAACCCCAGCTCTGGAGTACCAGTAAGGATTTTGACTATTATAAATCCAGACACACGCCCCTCCTTCTCATCTAAAAAGATGCTACCTCTCCAGCTAGCTAGCTTTATCAATTTAGATTACTTTCTAAAATGTTTACAGTTTTGGGACGCCTGGGTGGCTCAGTCGGTTCAGCGGCTGCCTTCAGCCAAGGTCATGGTCCCAGGGTCCTGGGATCGAGCCCCACATCGGGCTCCTTGCTCAGCAGGGAGCCTGCTTCTCCCTCTCTCTCCCTCTGCTTGTGCTCTTTCTGTCAAATAAATAAAATCTTTAAAAAAAATAAAATAAAATGTTTACAGCTTTCCTCTTCACTTAGAACCTCAAAGCTTCAGGGGCTTCTGTCGGTGGTTGGTGAATCGATTCCCTTGGTAACACAGTTCAGGTATATTTTTCCCGAAGGGAGGACCAATTTTTGTATGGCACGGTTCCCCGCAGCACAGAGTAACTCAGTCTGTCAGAGTTTTCAGAGAGCATTGAGGTCACCCATTCTGTTTGGCTTGAATTCTTTTCTTCTCATTATATTATGCTACTACCTCTCTCTTCTAAACCACGCCAGTCCCTTCTCTGGTTTCTTATTTCAACAGGCTAAAAGAGCACTGTCTACTGACAGTTTGGGATCTTGTTCTTCACAAAGACCAAATCATTAGGGAGTAGCAGGGGGAGGAAGAAGTGGTACAGGGTTGGCAAATAAGATTCTCTTGTATGATTCTGGCCCACTGAAGTGGCTGCTTGGAACACTGTTTTGGAAAAGAAACAAGAAAAGGAATGGAAAGGAAAAAGAAAAGAAGAGAAAAGAAAACTCCTAAAAATGCCTTTTTAACGAGAAAGAGTACAATGATCAGTTAGTTGTATCTGCCCCAGGGCATGGAATGGGAGAGCTGAAATATAATTTTGCCACCCCAGGGGCAGTAGAAAGAGTCTTCAACCAGGGCCTAAGGACGTGGCTTCTTATAAGCTACGTTGCCTTATCTTCCCTGACCCTGTTTCCTCAATGGTAAGAGAAATAGTAATAACTATAATATGAAAGCATTTATAACATGCTATACACAAGTAAGCTGTTTCATACTTTCTTTGGATCCCCTTTTTTCCATTAGATTTGCTACCTAAATTCTAACCCTGATATCCAGTTCTGGGAATATGGCCCACTGCTTATCTTCACATGTAAAAAAAACCTTTTTTTTTTTTAAAGGAAAGACTAAATCCAATGAACCTGATTATCTATAACTGAATTTTTTAATCATTATACAACAACATTTTTATCTTAGTTACTGAGTAACCCACCATTTGGTGCCCTGCTTGACACACAATGTGTGACCTGCTCAAGGCATTTAGAAAAGAAAAAAAGAAGGACCTAGTGAGCTCGCATGGACAAAGTGTGGATGAGCAAAGCCTGGTCACTGGACCGCTGTGTAAGCGACTGCTTCCCAGGTGTCATGCTACTCAGCTAGCAAAGTAGGTCTTTCCAATTAAAGCTGAATGCAGTTAATTTAAATCCAATCCCGCTAAAGTCGTATGGAACTAGGGCACTATGAAAGCTCTAGACAAGGATCCTGTGCATTTGACTCACATAGTTTGAGATGCAATATGTATCTGCCAAGTGGGGACTTTGGGACTCACCACTGTTGTCTATTAAAAATGCATGGCCCACCTCACCAGTACACATGGATTTCTAATCATGGAAAGAACCTGAGTACCCCTTCAAAGAATGCTCTAATCCTATATTATTTAGGTTACTTATATTCTTTCCCCATAGTAATAAGGGCCACGTTTATCTGATGGTGGAGTAAGTGATTTGTGTCTGTTTGTTTTCATCCTTCAGGTGCCTGCTGCCCTTTGGGAGTGAAATTATACAGGCTGGGCCCTAATGGCATTCGGATCTACTGGCAAGCCTCCAGGGGCTCTGTCAATTACAGCACTGACCTCCATGGTTCCAAAGGCATTTTCACGTGCGCCCCAAGCGCTGGCCTCAGTTTTTGTGATGTCACCGAGATACCCTGTGGGGATGTATATACCGTGATGGTCTCACCAGTTGCTGAGACAGGACTGAAGCTTACTTTCTGCCCCCAAAAAATATATTCAGGTAGATCAAGTTACAACCCTTTATTTAAAACTAACTCTGAACTCAGTCTGTGAGTTAAGACTCAGAGCAATCACACTTATTTGCTATGTAGGAAGGTCAAAAAGGTGGGAACTTTTGACATCCTGCGGGTGGATTCTGGCTATGGGGACCTCAAGCTTCTTTGGAATTGTGATGCTTTCTTATGTGATTCGGAGACACTCCTCTCTCAGCTGTCCCTTTCTTTTTCAGAAAACGGACCAGATGCTTGCTGTTTAAATAGTAAAGCAGATTTAAAATGATCTTCTGCTTTGAGATTTCGGAATAGATTTTTAACATAGTCTCAGAGATAATGAAAGACACCCTGAAATATTGGAAATTAAGAGACTTGAATCTTTGTTTGCACAAGTTCAGACTTATGACTGAGGAGAAGTCGGAGGATCAGGAAAAAAATGAATTTATAAATCATAAGCTAGGTTTGGAAATATGAGTGGGCAGGCAGTCTGTGATCACAAAACAAGACTGTCAGCAACTGCCATCTCACCAGAGCTGGTGGAGAAACATTAGCAGTTCTCCTGCTCTGTATACCAGCTCCTTCTGCTACCTTGCCCAGGGCACAGTCATATATTTTTTCATACATTTCTAAAAAAAATTTTTAAAGAAAAGAGATGATAAGGCCCTAGAATTTTATAGGTGATCACAGGAAGAGGAATAAGTATGGGCTCAGAAATCTTTACTGATGGGGCACCTGGGTGGCTCAGTCGGTTGGGCATCTGCCTTCAGCTCAGGTCATGATCCCGGGGTCCTGGGATCGAGTCCCACATCGGGCTCCCTGCTCAGCGGGGAGCCTGCTTCTCCCCCTGCCCTTCCCCCTACTCGTGCTTTCTTTCTCTCTCTCAAATAAATAAATAAATCTTTTAAAAAAAGAAATCTTTACTGATAACCAGAATCTAAAATTACCAATTATGTGTAGGTGACAAGAAGACGCAAGTGGCCCCTGGACAGAACCAGGCCAGCTCCTCTTGCTGGTGTTCTTGCTGCCCTTGGCTGCCATGCTCTGATTCCTTGTTTTTTCATTATCTTGTCCACAGGACAAGCTGGCCCAAAGTACTGCCCTATGGGAAGGGATAGGAATAGCTTCTTGGGGTGAGGATCAGCTCTTCAGGAAAAAGAGACTTTTGCTCAATAACAGCACTTCATTATATCTGCATTATGTTTTATAGTTTATCAAGTGTTTTCACATTTGGTATCTCATTGAATGTTCAAAATAACTCTATGGTTAGGTTCAACAAATTTTATTATCTCCGATTTATAAATGAAAAAACCAAAGTTTCCAGGCTCCCATATCTCTATCTATAACCCTTCATTTATTTATTTGTCAGAGAGAGGGAAAGCACAAGTGGAGGAGGGGCAGAGGGAGAAGCAGACTCCCCACTGAGCAGGGAGGCCGATGCAGGGCTCCATCCCAGGACCCTGGGATCATGACCTGAGCCGAAGGCAGACGCTTAACCGACTAAGCCACCCAGGCATCCCAACACTTCTCTTCTAACCCCTAAATTCATATTCCTATACCTCTACCTGGAGGTGCCCCAGGCACTTCAACTCCTCAGGGCCAAAGGGAACTCCTGATCTTTTCCTGCAATTTCTAATCTTCCTCCCGGCATCCTTGTTTCGGGTATGAGAGCTGGAAACCAGCTTCCCTCTCCCTCACCCTCCATATCTCAGGGGTCTCCAAGTCCTGTCCTGTTCACTTCATGATGGTTTTTTTTTTTAACTTTTTAAGTAATCTCTGCACCCAACATGGGGTTCAAACTCACAACCCCAAATTCAAGGGTCACATGCTCTTCCAACTGAGCCAGCCAAGCACCCCCTATGATGGTTTTTATTTATTTTTTTCAAAGATTTTTTTATTTATTTGAGAGCGAGAGAGAGAGAGAGAGAGAGCAGATGAAGAGGGGGAGGGGCAGAGAGAATTAGACTCCCCGCTGAGCAGGGAGCCCGATGGGGGGCTCAATCCCAGGACCCTAAGGTCATGACCTGAGCCAAAGGCAGCCGCTAGACCAACTGAGCCACCCAGTCACCCCTCATGATGGCTTTTAAATCCAAATTCTCTTCTCTCTCCTACACCTACAGTTATATGATAGGTCCTCACCACTTCTACCCTAGAATACTTGTCTTCCTGAGCTCATGCCAGCCTCCATACTATTACCAGAGTTATCATTCCAGGACACTGATCTGATTGTGTTTCTTCTATGCTTCAGAGTCCTCAAAGTGTTCCATTGCCCAATAGGATAAAAGTCAGTACTTTGAGCGTGGCATTCAAGGCTCCTCCTAGTTTGTCTGTAGTTGGTCTTCCTACACCTGCATTGTGCAATAGATATTTAATGCAAGCCATGTATGAAAAGATTTAAATTTTCTAGTACCCACATTAAAAAAATTAAAAATAGGGGTGCCTGGGTGGCTCAATCGGTTAAGTGTCTGCCTTTGGCTCAGGTCATGATCATTCACACACATCTGCCCTCACCACACACATATTCCATGCCGTATCATGCTTCTGAGCTCATGCAGGACTCTCCTCTTTGCCTGGAATTTCACCTCCACCAAGGGAACTCCACCAGCACAAATCTCCTCTCCTCTGTGAAGTCTTCTCCAATTCCTAGAGGCTGATTTCATCTTCTTGCTCCCTCCTTTATGACCCCATATGACCTGCATCTTTACCACACCATATGACTGTGAGTTGAAAATGTGTTACTTTCCCTAATAAATGGTCATCTATGGACTCTCGACACATAGCACATAATTATCACCCAGTATATTTTAAATTAAAAAATTAATGAATTAATGAGTTTTCTGTGTTTGCCTATGATCCTACAGCCAGTATGTTAGCCACCAGAAGTCCCTGTTAGCTAGAGCTCTAATACCCTCTGGTGGGATGCCATCTCAAGGCTGCCATCATTCCACTTTAGTTAAGGATTGGGTGTCTAGACTCAAGTTAGGGAATCCATCTCTCTGGTAAAAACCAGGTGTCTGGGGAAATGTTTTGGTTTTGTTTTTTGGGTTTCCTTTTTTCAATATCAGTGATGCCTTCCTTTGATAGTTAGGACAATACTATAAATGATACTAATGACTATTATTTATTGAGGGTATGTGCCTGGCACTAGCCTAAGGGCTTTACATATACTAACTCAGTTGATCCCTGTAACCACCTTATGAGGTTGGCATTCTAATTCTTCCCACTTTACAGATAAACTAAAACACAGAAAAGTGAAGTGACTTCCCCAAGTCATACTGCTGGTAGCTATCTCCTCTTATCACTCAAGCTGGTTCTTATTCATTCTTTGGTTGACTAACCCATTATTCTTTAAGTTATATCTTCACCATCTTTTTAAAAAATATCTTCACCATCTTATGTATGTCAGTTAATACGTTTTAAATGCTTTTGTTGTTATTCATTCCAGTAACCTGCTCTGGAAGTACACTTGGAATGGGTAAGTCATTTTTCTCATGGATAATATAGAAGAGAATTTTTGTTGTTGCTCTTTCAGGTGATGTAATGAAGTAGGAATCAAAGCTGACTCGGTGATGTGAGAGGTTCTTGGCCTCCCCTCCCACAACTTTTCTCCCCTACTAGAATACCTCCCCTCAGATTCCGCCAGTTGAGATGGATTCCTTTGCAGTCGGAAGTCTTTTCAGTCTCCTAGGGTCCCACAGGAGAATGTAAATCCGGTTCAGTAGAGGCAGCTGTTTCATCCTTCACTTCACAGACTGGTTCCCAGCCCTGCTGGACAGTGAGTCACCTCGAGAGCTTAAAAGTAATTGATGTCTGGTCTTTATCCCCACAAAATCTGATTTAATTGGTCTGGGGTAAGTCTGGGCATCGGGATTTTTCAAAGCTCCTTAGGTGATTCTAAAGCAGAGCCAAGCTGGAGAACTGCAGCTTTCCAGCAGACCTTCTCAAACTTTATTGTGCATGCAAGTCACCTGGGGCCTTGTTAAAACTAGATTCTGCTTTGGTAGGTGTGGGAGGATCTGAGACTTTGCACTTTTAACAAGGTTCAGGTGATGCCAGTGACATCGAGGCTGCGTGTCTGACCACACTTGCAGTAGCCAGGTGTTAGAGGGAATCTGTTAACAGCTTGCAAAGAGCCAACATGTCTGCTTCTAGTTTGCAAGGGTGGATATGCCCCGTGGGGGAAATGGGGGTGCTAAAGGGGAGTTGGAGTAAGGATAAGTCCTATGCTCAGGACTGATCTCGGCTAGGAGGCTACTCCTGGGAATGGCTGCAGGGATGACCACGGAGCTGTGAGTGCTGACCCAGTGAGTAGCATGGGCTGCTTCACGAGGAATCCTTGCCATGTCTTCTAGGGACCTGCTTGGTCTGGGGCTTTGGGAAAACCCCCAGGGAATATTATCAACCCCAAACTACAGACAGGATGGACACACACACACACACACAGAACCACATTCCCAGTCAGACATGGCTGATCTCAGAGGCTCGGAGTGGAAATGAAGTCTTCCTATCAGTAAACCCCACAGGAGAGCCTCCCAGTTTGGGCCAGCTCTCCATCCAACACTTCCACTGGCAGGAATTGGGTCTGGAGTCTCCCTCCACTGCCTTATTCTCTTTCCTTTCCTGGTCCATTGCTTCTCTGAGGACAGCAGGACATGTGCTTTCCAATTCTTGTCCACCAGCAGGTCTGAAATAAGCACAAGCCCCATTCATTTTTTTTTTTTAAGATTTTATTTATTTGTTAGAGACAAGCAGGGGGGGCGGCAGGCAGAGGGAGAAGCAGGCTCCCTGCCGAGCAGGGAGCCCGATGTGGGGCCTGATCCCAGGACCCTGGGATCATGACCTGAGCCGAAGGCAGATGCTTAAACCGACTGAGCCACCCAGGCGTCCCAAGCCCCATTCATTTTTAAAAGGTTTTTGTTTCCAGCGACTATCGGGAAACCAGCCTAGCTTATTAAAAACAAACTGAGGAAACTTCTAAATTATAAAAAAAAAAATTGCTTTAAAAAACTCCCAGAGGACTCATGACCACAAGCCCTGGTCTTCAGTGAAACGTACACAGGCCTGGGTCTGCATTTTTGGAAACTGTCCAGTATTGGGACAGTATTTAACCAGTGTTCCCCTGAGCCGCAGAGGGGTAATAGACGTGACTTGGGGCCCCTGGCAGGAGACAAGTATTGTGTTATAGAGGCCTTCCCTAAAATTTTGTTAAAGACAGAGTTGCAATGCTTTTAAAAAAAATGCTTGAAAACCATCACTCACAGACTTTGCTACTCATCAGCATCACCAGAAAGCTTGTTCAAAATGTATAGTCTCAGAGGGCACCTGGCTGGCTCAGTCAGAAAAGCATGTGACTCTTGACCTCAGGGGTTGTGAGTTCAAGCCCCACCTTGGGTGTAGAGATTACTTAAAAAAAATCTTCAGAAAAATGTTTTATAAATGTGCAATCTTAGGCCCCACTCTGATTTATTAAATCCTGAGGTGATTCATATGCATATTCAAATTTGAGAAATACTGCTTAGGTATTAATTCTCAAACTTTGATGTATATCAGAATCCCTTGGAGAGCTGATAAGGAATGTAGAGGGATGCCTGGCTGGCTCAGTCGGTAGAGCATGTGACTCTTGATCTTGGGGTCCTGAGTTTGAGCCCTATGTTGGGTGTAGA